GGAGGGCAGAGTAAAAATGGTGAGGTTTAATTTAAATAAATGTAGTCCAAATCCATTTCTTGGCCTGGTTTTTACTATACTAAAAGACAGTTTTTAATAGTTTAGCATGTATTTGCCTATTTAATTTGGGCTTTGACATCATTTAGGAGTAAGGCATCATGGTTTTTGTTGTTACTTTAGGGTTTTATTTTTTGTTTGGTTGGGTTTTTGTTGCAGTTCCTGGTAAAATATTGTCTGCTTTGTGCTCACAAAGGCTTATGACAACACAAGGTTTAGGTGCTGAATGTTGGCCTATAATTTATGCAAGTTTTTGTCTGTCCTCATGACTTTAAGTTTTACTGACTGTTAAATTTGGACTTAATTATTTTGAGGATAAAATTAATTTTCATGAAGCTTTTGCCTTAAGAATTGCCATCTTAAACTAGCTGCATTTTACTGATCATGATTTGTCATCTAACACACTTTTTGTGCTTTAAGTGAGGGACAGTCATTTTATTTTTCTTGTCATAAATGGTTATAATATAAAGTGCATTATACTGGTACTTTAACGAGAATGGCTTAAGCTCTCTCCATACATAAAGCACTTTGGCTGAAAGGTACTGAATTCCTGAAATAGGCTTTCATTATTTATTGACTCACTACCCTATCATAATTTTTCTGAAGCACTTTTGATCTGTTTAATAAGTATTGTGTTTTCATTTCTAAAGTATTTAGCATGCTGAAAAACTTCCACTTAAAAAAATTATCATAATGGCTCTTCAAAGAGAGTTTTGCTTGAATAATCTGTGATGAAACCTGTTCTCTGGACTCAGACAAGTATCTGAGAACAAGCCATGGGTTGTTTGTGAGCATTGTCACATTGGTTCGACTAGCCGCAGTAATTAATATACACTAAAGGAAATGGGTGGTGGTGACTTTTGGAAAGGCAAAGGCATTTACCTTCTGATTTTAACCTTTGTCTTAATGTGTCAAGGTAAGTATGTCAAAAGTAGTTTTTACATGTTACCAGGAAGAGGAGGTGAATTTTAAAATTCTGTTAATGATAGCTAGGCACATGAAATTCAATAAATCTCTGCTGAATGCGTTAGCCTATGAATATTGTAATTTGTGTTGTCTTAACCCAGCCCTGGGGCTGGTAAACAAATTATCCTATATAATAAAAGGCTAATATGAAAATTGATCAAATGGTGGGATGACCAGTCACTATGACGTGCACTGACCACCAGGGGGCATACACTCAATGCAGGAGCTGCCCTCCAGTGTTCAGTGTGCCCACAGGGGGAGTGCTGCTCAGCCAGAAGCTGGGCTCAAGGCTGGCGAGCGCAGCCACGGTGGTGGGAGCTTTTCCCACTTCCGCAGCAGTTGGACATCCCTCTAAGGCTCCTGGACTGCCAGAGGGTGCAGGCCGGGCTGAGGGACCCTCCCCCCGCCCACCAAGCACATGAATTTTGTTCACCAAGCCTCTAGTCTATTGATAAAAAAATATGTAGAATAGCATTTTGTACATCAAACATAGTACTAAACATGTTTCATAATTTAACAAATTAAAAATATCCACTATCCCACAGTGACCAGTTCAGGGTTGAGTCATTTCTTGAATTCCCTTGACCATGTATGAATTACATATTGTTTTTGTGATTAATCACTATGGTTTCATTATGTTCAATTTGTAACAATGAAAAAACATTCTGCATATCAGATATTTACATTACAATTCATAACAGTAGGAAAATTACAGCTATGAAGTAGCAAAATAATTTATGGTTGGGGGTCACCACAACATGAGGAACTGTATTAAAGGGTCGCGGCATTAGGAAGGTTGAGAACCACTGCCTTGGATGAAGTGCTTTGAGGTTCCCAGGCTAAGGTGTATTGGTCAAGTTAAACCAAAAGAGGGGCTTTGGGTATGCTTCTTGGTGTCTTATCTAAGGGCAGCATAAGGTGAAGCCCATGGGAGGCAGGGGAGGTTGTTGACCATTAGAGCTCGTGGGAAGTTATATCAGGAACTTACATTGGCTTGTGACTCTTCAGGTTGCTATTTGGATATGTACTTGCATGAGGGACTAGTGTCAGATTCCAGTTACTGCAAGGCGATTGGCCAAACAAAATGGATGATGAGGCAGCACTACCACTGGGAGCTTAGCTAAACTCTCCACACCCATGCATGACGTATGTTTTTCTACAAGTGCATTTGTAAGTTTACATAATTGGCCTTTACTTATATAACATAAATTAGAGTTTATAAAATAGAGAAATGAGTGGAAGGCTTTGCAGTATTCAATAAGATTCTTTAATTCACAAAGATTTGTTTAAAGTCTTTGGAAACCATGAGCACCACAAGTTCATTTAAATTATATTTCAACTTACAACAGTTTAATTAACACTGAACCATCAATCAAAATGAAGCATAGTTATGTAAGCAAAGTGGAAAAATAAAATTAAAATTGTTTAATAGATTTTCTAGAAAAGTCCACGGTGCCATGTATAAAGCAAATAGCACTATAATTGGTCTTGAGTTACTTAGAACAGCTCTGTTACTAATTGGCTGCTTCTAACAGGGAAATCATTTAATGTTAGCTTCCTTAACTGAACCAAGAAGTAGTTGAATTAAATGTGTGGTTATCAAACTATTAAGCAGCCATGATATGCTCTTCAGAATTATTCAGACATCTGCCACAAGTGTGGTGTAAAGTGAAACTTTTGGATTTCCAACCATTCTTGTCGAATACATACAACACAATTCTCCTCTCATTTGAACTTTAGTGAATCCCAGAATATTTTCATTTGTAAGGCGGACTTACACTACTCATAATTTAAAAAAACAACCATTTCATTTCTAAAGTCGTTTCTAACACTGTTCTCTTTTCCATTAACCCAAATTGTAGGATTGACACTAAAGTGCTTATTAACTTTGAGTTTTTGGTTTTCAGAAAATAATTTATTAGGGCAATAAACTTTATGTAACTGTTTTTGTGAATTGTGAACATTTGAAGATTTTGAGGGCTAGAAAATGTGCATTTTTACAATTTTCCCTTCATACATGTGGTCTGTTTTTTGATATTTTAAAAAATAGTCCTTATGTTTTAGATATTCATAGTAAAATATTTATCCATGAAAAGATGTCATATTTGGCATTTGCTTCAAAATAATTAGGTATTTAGCTAAATGAGTTAGATATAGATAAAACCAGATGGCTCCAGAGTTGATAATTGTTAACACTGAATAATGGACAAATGGAGTTTCATTATCATATTTTTGCAACATTTGCATATGATTTTTCTATATGAATATATATTTTTCATTTTCTACTTGAAAAGAATTTAGTTCATTCACTACAAGAATTTTCAGTCGATAGCCAGGAGCAGTTACTGATCACAGGTTTCAGTGAGCAGACTGTTCCCTGTGATTTTACTGTCTTAGATGATATTTCTTTTTCTTCAGCCAAGTTACATTGCACCTTTTATTTTCACCGTCACTTCGCAGATGCAGACATAAAGAAATTTTAGATGAGTCATTAATATCACCTCTGCTCATTCCCTGCCCAGGTACATACACTTTTAAGTTAACTTAAAAAATGGACAATTATTAGTTTGGTTATAGACATCTATACATTTTTAAAACACAGTTTTAATATTGTAAGATGACTCCTTGTAGACCATTACTTTGCTATAACATTTTCAGGTACTTAGAATTACCATATAGTACACTTTCTACTTCTACAGAAAAGATGAGTTTCAGTTTGAATGTGGCTCTGGTGTAGAATGTGATGTCCCCACTTGTACAGTTATTAAATGAGTCTGCTGTCAATTCAGAAATCTGGGAAATTGAATTCATTTTGCCTTTACTTTTAAACATTCTTTCAATTCTTCTTTCATTTTGAAACTGCTCTATTGTGTGTCACTGTCTAATAGATGACCAGATGGTGCTATTCAAAAGTTTCAATTTATCCTAAAATCAAACTCCAGTGAAAAGAACTTTAGGAAAATTTACACTACTGAAAGTTACGATTTAAAAAATGCTGGTTGTTACATTTACATAAGAGATATTAATAAATCATCATCTTTATTTTAAAAGTAATTAAGGGAAATCCTCTTTAGTGAATGCATCCTTCCTGTAAATGGAAGCTAACATGCAATAATATATCCCTACTCATTATAAGAGAGTTATGCATTTAAGTCATTACGTGTAAATGATCCTTTGACCTTCATACTGCATAATTTGTAGATAGAAATATTCATTAGTATAGAATTTAGAAAGTTTTGATATATCTGCATTGAGTGTGGGACAATTATACTTGAAATATTGGACTCAAGAAATCCAATGCCCATGTCATACACCGCTATTACACTGATGTGTCTAGCCCAGCTCACTTTTATGGTCTTATAGTCCCCTCATGACCAGGGAACAGAAGAGAAAAAATGCTGAACTTAGTTCATGGATGGGTAAAATAGGTAAGTAAATTCAAGCCACATCTGCTTGAGTGGATTGCTACTACACTACAGTTCTTAAGGTTGACCTTGAAAGAAAGCACTGAGAAAAAAATTGCCCAATGGATAGAGATTGTAGGGGTGCTCTTAGTCATCCAATTTATATGAAAATAAATGTGTCCTGGGATTAGAATGTATAATACTTCATAGATCTTGGCAAATAGCTTGATTGGCTGTTCCCAGACCTAGAAGGAGAAAGGTTTAAAAATTAGAGACAAGAAAATCTGGGTAGGGCTCATGTAGCACATGCCTACTACATACTATTCTCTCCAAGAACAGCTCAACAATCAAATAGAATGACTTGGCTAGAAGACTTGTTTGCCCTTGCCATCAGCCACTCACATTCTGTCACAATGGGCTCAGGAACAGGCTAGCCATAGTGGCAGACAATGACCCCACCATAATGGGATCCCACTCAACAAGGCTGATCAAATTTTGGTCCCATCAGCTGCATCTCCGAGCCAGCTGTACTCACCCTGTGGCTCTCGGCACCTCCCCTGGGCTCTGAGCCCGCTGCCCGCCCCACGCTGCGCACCGCCATGACGGAACGGGCCGACTCCTTCATCAAGGACTTCCTGGCGGGAGGCATCACCGCTGCCATCTCCAAAACGGCCGTCGCCCCGATCGAGCGGATCAAGTTGCTGCTGCAGGTGCAACAGGCCAGCAAGCAGATCCCCGTGGACAAGCAGTACAAGGGGATGATGGACTGCATCCTGCGCATCCCCAAGGAGCAGGGCGTGCTGTCCTTCTGGCGAGGCAACCTGGCCAACGTCATCTACTACTTCCCCACGCAGGCCCTCAACTTCGCCTTCAATGACAGGTACAAGCAGGTGTTCCTGGGGGGCGTGGACAAGCGCACGCAGTTCTGGAGGTATTTCGCTGGCAGCCTGGCCTCGGGTGGGGCGGCGGGGGTCACCTCCCTCTGCGTTGTCTACCCCCTGGATTTCGCCAGAACCCGGCTGGCGGCCGACGTGGGGAAATCTGAGGCCGAGCGGGAGTTCAAGGGCCTGGGAGACTGTCTGGTGAAGATCAGCAAGTCTGACGGCATCCGGGGCCTGTACAAGGGCTTCAACATCTCCGTGTACAGCATCGTCATCTACCGGGCTGCCTACTTCGGTCTGTACAACACGGCCAAAGGCATGCTCCCCGAGCGCATGGACACGCACATCATGGTGAGCTGGGTGATCGCCCAGCTGGTGACAGCGGTGGCCGGCTTTGTCTCCTACCCCTTCGACACGGTGAGGCGGCGGATGATGATGCAGTCAGGGCGCAAAGGAGCCGATATCATGTACAGGGGGGCCATCCACTGCGGGCAGAAGACCTTTAAGGAGGAGGGGTTCAAGGCCTTCTACAAGGGCGCCTGGTGCAACGTCCTCAGGGGCATAGGCGGGGGCTTTGTTCTGGTCCTGTACGACGAGGTGAAGAAAATCATCTAGACGTGTCCCCTGGCCCCCTCGTCTAGGTGCAGGGACCTGGAGAGTAGCGCCGAAGACTTCACTCTTACAGACCATTGACCTTCTGGAAATTCTGACGTCTTTGACCGGCCTGAGCCTGTGTGGAGGTCTGGGGAGGGCTCTAGAACGGGGTTCATTGTGATCACGGCAACCGGCACCCCTATTCCAAGCATTGCTTACAGGGGGAGGGGAATCCTGACGCCCCCGTGGTTCCGCAGGCCGGGCAGCTCCCTCACACCCACCAAGAGCTGAGGTGTTTGAAGGACCCAGATGCCTTTAAGTATTTATTTAAAGAAAGTCATGTCTCCCACTTGTACTTGGTCGCTATCCTCTTTTGCACACCTGATCACTTGTGATAACGTTCTATGTTGGGCATTTTGATGCAAACAATAAAAAACAGAACAAGGAAAAAAAAAAAAAGACCGGTTAAATAGGGTGTCCCAAAATTCACTCAAGAAGTAATTTTGATAGAAAACACAGGTTTATAATTAAAAATTGTAAATTTTTTATCGATTCATAAAGTATACAGTATAGGGTTATGTATGGAATAGCACATCGGGTAAATGGCCTCCATGGCTTTACTGGCATATACGCAAAGCCGTGGTCTTCATTGGTCTGCATTGTCCCTGCTCCTGGGCCATCATTGGTCCTTGGTAATGCTTATCAAATTGAAGGGATTGAAACCAAAGGGCAACAGATATTAGAATCTGATTCAATAAACCAGGCAAAATTAGGCTTTTATTTTTTGTTGTTGAATAATGCTCATGCAAAATTCAAATCTTGTGTGAATTTCGGGACACCCTGTACTTATGCTACCAAATGTTCAACATACCGGAGTGGAGAGCAAAGGTGAGCCTGTCATTCAGCACCATCTCCCAAGGAGTCTCAGGAATTGGTCACACTGAACCACTTTTATTCTAGAAGAGAGAGCATTTCAGCTTGATAATCAACACCTTACCAGTACAGACTGGTCTTTGTGTCCCATAGGGCCTCGGGCAGATCACTATTCCAGGGCTTATAGAGTGTTCGGTTCATCATTATGGGATACTAGCATCACATCAAGCAAGGGGCCTCTTTATAGCACAGGACAAGCAACTGTGGCCGTATGATAATTGGCTACACTTGTTTGATCCCATGTAACACCTCAGGGAGTTTCTGGGAGACCGAGTAATGAAACACTCCTAAAAGGCACAGCTAAGGTCCTTGCTTACAAATGATACCCAGAAAGCATATACTGACATCTTTCAGGATACAGTATACACACTAAATTAATGATTACACACCACAAATTAATTCTGTGCCCTGTTGATATTGGATAGATGGGTATAGGAAACAAGGAGTAAAACTAGAGTAGTCCCACTTAGCATTGCTCACAGTGACTCATGTGGAGCACAAACGTGCTTTCCATCACTGCAAATCTAGGGTCTAATGCAGTGGTTCTCAACCTTCCTAATGCCATGACCCTTTAGTACAGTTCCTCATGTTGTGGTGACTCCCAATTTCATTGTTACAAATTGAACATAATTAAAACATAGTGATTAATCACAAAAACAATATTTAATTATCTATGTGTTTTCCAATGGTCTTAGGCGACCCCTGTGAAAGGGTCGTTCGACCCCCAAAGGGGTCGCGACCCACAGGTTGAGAACCGCTGGTCTAATTGACATACACATACTGGTTTCTAGGAAGAAGTCTTTCCACCTGATGACAGAGAAAGAATCTCAAACTTGAAGCTATAATTGCCACCTAATCACCAAGAAATTAGTAGGCAAGGGATGGAGTCATTATCCTGCCAGAATGTAAGGTTGCTGTTATAAAGTAGGATCGGGAAGAAATGTTTGTAGAATGCAGGCAATCCACTGGGGCATCACTTGGTATTGTCCTGGCTAATTTAGATAATAAATAAGTGCCACAGCCTCAGAAGTCCATGATTACAGGGCTCAGAACCCTTAGGGATAAGGGTATGGATTATCCACTAGGTAGTTAACCTAAACCAGCAGAAATAATGGCAGAGAAAGAGGGCAATCAGAATGAGCAGAAGATAAGAGAGATGATAAATATATGCAAGAGGTGATCTCTTTCAGAAGAACTGAGACGCTCATTCCACAGCTTATTGGCTGAATGCGTATATGCTGAAGAGGATGTGTTGCTCCTGCAATATGTCTGGTATCTGCAAGCTAAAAGAATAGAACACCTTGAGGGAACTAGAGATTCTGAGAGAGAGGTGAGAGGATTTGTGCATGAAGACAGTGGGCTGCCTGCCATTCATGCTGTGGGTGGCCAAGATTTCTCTTCATACTACTACTAGTGGCCCGGTGCATGGATTTATGCACATTGAAAGGAAATTAATTAGAAGAAATATTTTAATATCGCTATTTGCACTTTCTCTATCATAGAAGTATCATTCATGAAAGAAAATTAGTAAAATGTATATGAAAATAATATACAAATGATTCATAAACCATAACAACATGATATAACAACAAAGACATATAAAAACAAAGACATGATATAAAAATAACAAAAACATGATATAAAATGACATTGATAAAACAATGACTGATAAATTGATTAAACTTATTCTAATATCTCCCTGTATACCACATTAAGATTTAAAACACTTTCAGAGTGCGTGACTAATTTCCCTTGGGATGAAGTATTTACAACTTTAACTTTAATGTCACACGCTCTTCGAACTCAAGAGAAAGCAACATATAACTGACCATGTCTGAAAACAGGTTCAGGTAGGAATATTTCTATTCTGCCTAGAGTTTGTCCTTGTGATTTATTAATAGTCATCGCAATGGCTGTCATCACAGGCAACTGTCTTCGAATTAATTTAAATGGGAGGCCACTGTCAGATGGGAACAAATCAATTCTTGGAATCAGAACAACCTCTCCTTCAGCAGATCCTGTTAATACTTCAGCTTCAATTATGTTAGGTTGCAATCTTTTGATAATAAATCTAGTACCATTACAAAGACCCCATTTACTATTCAGATTTCTCAGTAGCATGATGATTGCATCTACTGTCAATTTTAATTTTTGACACGGCATTTCCAAAGGAATAATACTATTAAGAAATTCGATGCGAAAATTTTCCTTCTCGGCATCATCTGTTGAATCGATGGAATCATCACTCAAATGGTATGTTGTGCCAATAGTTGATCTTCAGATACATTCTGTCGATGCCGCCTCTTTCTTTCAGTTTCAGAATGTCAACAAAAACAACCAAATTCATGATAAACAATGAAAGATCAAAACACACATGTGTGATTGGTGCCAATGAGAGCTTTATATGTATTGTGGATGCGCAAGTCGATGTTTACCTTTAAATTGCCAGTGCGTGTCATATGTACCAGTCAGTGGGTTGGTCGGATGGTTGGACATACGTTTAGTTGGTCACTTAGCCTTTAATATATATAGATAAAAGATAGCAACTGTAAACATAGAACAAGTTGTCTTCTCCCAAAGTGATATTTTTGCTGCAGTTTTCACCCAGATTTTGTGTCAATACAAGGATTTTCTTGATTTCTCTCTCTTGTAGCTGCTATGGGCCCTAGAGTCTCCATTTCAACCCCAGTATCATGATCTCTGCCACCTAGAAGCATACCATTTTCATAATTCCATGGCATGTCTATCAAAAATAATAGATTAAGTGTCCAGCAGTTAATTTATATTAATGTTGAGGATGCATTTTAGTTTCCAATTATGTTAATATAGACTTTTAGTTTAAGAGTAAAATTGCCTATCAAATACAAAGATTTTACAAATTTTTGCCATAAAAATAATCTCTTGCAAAAGAACAGAAAGGATTTTGAAAGAGCCCAGTGTCTAACATTTTTTAATTGAAATTTTCTTAAGTGTGGCACATAGTTTAATGGGCACTATATAGCAACATTGTTTCCAGAAAATTGCCATTCCTAAATATCATGACATTTAAGAATGAAGTAAGGAATGTTCATGACAACTTTACAATATATTATATACACAAATTGAGGTAACGATTGTTAGGTATTTTGTACTAATGGATTCATTATAGTACTGCCTAGTATAGTGAAGCATAGATGCCAGCTTTCCTTCTGCTCAGTGTTAGAAGCTACAAGTATGATAATTACAAAAAGATACATTGAAATAAAAAGTTAGTGAGATTTTTTTACCTCCTCTGCAGTATTTCCTTTCAAATAAATTCAAATGTTTCACTGAAATTCAAGATAAAAATAGATATGTTTTTGTAATGGCAAATATGAGATAATCAGAATTCAAATTCTGGCTTTGCCTCTTAAACTTTCAAATTCTCAACTTTCTTATGTACCCAAATGACAATAATAGTACCTATCACTTTGTGTTATTGTGAAAATTAAGTAAGTATTGTAAGGACTTAGCATAGTATTTGGTATTTAGTCAGTATACAATGATGATTGCTAATAGTATTACTATCACACGATTATTAATTTTGCAATAGGGTTAAGATATTTCTGTAGATTTTATTAAATATGTTTTATTGTTTTTTTAGAGAGAGAGGAAAGGGAAGGGGTACAGAAATAGAAACATCAATGAGAGAGAAACAGCATTGATCGACTGCCTCTTGCTACATGTTCCCCTTCCCTCACACAGGGTATCAACCCCACAACCCAGATATGTTCCCTGACTGGGAATCACACCAGTGACCTCTTGGTTCCTGGGCTGATGCTCAACCACTGAGCCACCCCAGCTGGGCATCTGTAGATTTGGGTGTTATTTTTTTTTATTGAAGTTAGACCATGAATTTGTTAGCTATTCCTATAAAACTCAGTAGCTTTAAAAATCAACTACTTATTATTGTTTATACACTGAGTAGAGGCTAGGATTTGGCTGACTTAGTTTGGCCTTATCAGGGTGGCTCTGTTTCTTACTGCCTATTTTTGTGTCCCCAGGTC